AATTGAGTCTGGCTGTGCTCTCTGGAATGTCTGCCTATGTATCTAGCAGGCCTCTACAGTGAATATCAGGCCTAAGGAGTGCTGTTCGGCTCTGTTGAAAAGCAGAAGGCAGGGCTGGGGATTTGGCTCAGTGGCACTGCACCTGCCTCATAAGCACAAGGTCCTGAGTTCAATCCCGAGTACTGAAAAAATAAGAAAAAAAGAAAAGCAGGAGGGAGCAGAATTCTGAATGTCTCACTAGCATGAACTTTAGGTTGGAAGTCTCACTGATGGCACAGGTTTGTTCTGCTATTTAAAGAGAAAGCTTTGGACTCACCCTTTCCTTGGCTCTCCTCTCCCTGTAGAAGTGAATGAGAGAAGAGTGCATAATGTGCAGGTGATAAGTGCAATCAGCTAGAGCTCTTAGTGTGTGGGTACAGACAAGCTTCAGGAAATAGGTTCTGGCTATGCTCTCTGGAATGCCTATCTGCAATACTAATTTTCAGAGTGTATATCAGGCCTCTATAGTGAATAGCAATTTGGCCTAAGAAGGACTATTCAACTTCGTTGAAAAGCAGGGGAAGCAGAGTTCTGACTAGCGTGAACTCTAGGTTAGAAGTCTGATAACACAGACTCGTTTTCCTGTTTGAAAGGAAGGTTGCAGATTTGCATTTTACTTGGCCCTCCATTTTCCATTAAAGTGAATGGATGAAGAGGGCATGTAGTGCAGTTGGTAACTAAAAACAGCTAGAACTCTCAGTGTTTGGGCATCCAGTGGTGGCAAACCTATAGCACACATGCTGCAGCTGACATGCAGACCCCTCTGTTGCCACATGAGCTGTTGACACACAAGCCATGTTGCCCCTGCTTCGCTCCAATAGTTGAACATTCAGGTTTAATTGCAGTGTTGACACTTTGAGATAAATAAGTGGGTTTGGGGTTGCAGTTTGGGCTTTCAATGTCTAAAAGTTTCATCATCATTGTCCTATGGTCTTCAAGTTGTCTGTGGTCACTATGTTTAGTTGGATAAGAGAAGAAACACAAGAAAGACATCAGGATTTTTTTTCCTGAATCTTACAGGACTATAGGACTATCATTACCAAAAGCCAACTCAGCAAAAGCAGGCTAGGTTTCTGTCACCTAAATAAGTGACTGCCAGGACAAGAGAGACACTGGTGAGAGAAAAGAATCAAAGATGGGGAAGGGGCAAAAACTCTCAGGTTATTGTTTGAAGACTTAGTGTTCCTCATCTGTAAGACAGGGACAATAAGAGCTTTTCAACTAGGTAAGCTTTCAAAGCTTACCTAGTTGAAGTGAAAAACTTCCAGTAAATACAGGCGGTGTACTGTGGGGAAGTACAGTACCTCAAACAAAACCTTCACCTTTCATCAGTGAGGACGAGAAGCTTAGGAGAGAAGGCAAAGGAAGTACTCCTATGCCTGCTGCTGTTTAAACTTTCTAAATGACAATTTCTGAAGTGTAGAAAGAAAGCAAACATCCACTGTGTGTGGAAAAGAGAGGCAGGAAGAGAACAGGGTGGCTAGCAGCACAGGGGCTGGAGCCTTGGGTCCCCTCCGTAGCACTGGCCTGGACAGGTTCTGTGAGTGAGGCGCCTTTTGAAAATGGTTATGATCCGGTCCCACCCCAAGGTCCACAGTGACGTAAAAACCTGAGCATCTACCATAGATGAAACACTGTCCTGCTCACACAGGAGGTGGGAAATGACAAAGATTTTAATATTGAAGTTCAAAGTATTCATACACATACACATACGCACATACACATGCACATGTCAAAACTAAGGAGTAATTTGGGACGGAAGGAGTAATTCTGGACACACTTGGAGAGAACTGAATGTTTTAAATCAAGCTGCAGGAGCCCATGCTTCTGGCTGGGAAACCAGGGAAGCTCTCTAGGAAAGAAAACAACTTTGCTATGCACCCTACAGCCAGAACAGGATTTTAGCAGGTTAGCAAGGGATGGATCTATTCTCTGGAGACAGAACAGCATGAACATGATGGCACTGAGACCTGGAGGCCGAGTGTGTGCCACAACATGTCAAATGAACATTGATAAAATAAATGAGCACTAACAAATAATCATAAGCATGGTTATTAGTAATGAGTATGGAAGAAAACGTGGAAAACTCAAGTGCAAGTGACCTTGTGAACTAGTGGGGATACCTTAGACATTTTCAGGAAGGTGGCGGCATAATGAGAAGTGTTCTGCAGTTGGCTTGATGTGACCACTATTCTGGGCCACTTGTGCAAACCAAAGGTCTGCCAACCACTGCAACACTCCAGATCCTGACAACCAAGGTCAGATCAGTGGCTGCAGTCTTGCAAAGGAATCCAGAGGTAAAAGTAAAACTCCAATCTGACACATGAGCCTCAAAAACAATCCAGAGCACAGCAGTATGTACTGCCAACACTTCACTAATGGTTCTGACCACACTTGATGATAAAATATAAACTCTATAGAGTTTTTTTTGTTTTTTTGGGTTTTTTTCTGAAATAGTTTCCCTTCTCCAGGGAACAGCTGAGAAACAGGCCTGGCACAGAGGCTCTTGAGTCATCTTAGCTTTCTTGTCTTACATGACAGTGGACAGAGCCACTGCAATGAATGTCTCCTATAGCAAAGAGTGACCCCCCTACACACACAGAACATCAGCTGCAGGTTATGATGAGCAAACCTTATTGAATAATCAGGAGAAATGAGGTGCAGAGGAGGGAGGGGAAATGGGAAACAAGCCATACAAAATAAATGATGGTGGACTAAGGATCAATAGTACTGAAAGACATCAAGAGCTGGAAACCAGAAAAGGGTGGCACTACCTTCTAGTTCCAGGGAAGGTCGCCTCATGCAAGATGTTATACAAACATGCATCCCCTGGAAAGGCAGCCAGTTCTCCTCCTTCCCACCCAAAAATGGCACCAGTGACTTGCTCAGGTGAGGCCTACGGCAGCAATCTGAGGGCTCCTGATCTCAGTAAGGGTAAGGTGAAGATAGTCTTCTATAAAGCACTTGATCAGAAAGAAGTTGGTAACAAAAAAGAGCTTCCTTACAGCTCCTGGACAGCACAGGCCTGTGCGGCTCAGTCTTGAGATCTGGAAAGGGACCAGCTGGTGGGTGCAAATCATCATGTCCACAGATGTGAATTCTCCAGATAAGCTCATTCCATCCACTCCAACAGCCCACATATTAGGATTTTAACCATTTAAAAGAAAAAGTTCCTCCAAATATCTTACAATGAATGATGTGAAATTAGCATTTTTGTAGGTCAAATACTAAAACATTACTAGGGTCAGTGGCAAGGCACACTTCCCAGCTTTTCTCTAGAGCAGGGTGCACAGCTTTATTCTTAAAAGGATCACAGATAGTTTAGACTCTGAGGGGCAAAAGAGAAAACATAGAGTATGAAGGTACTTATATAACCATTTAAAATGTTGCCATTATAAAGTCCATCCTCAGCTCCTACAAAAACAGGTATTGGCTAGTTTATCAACTTTTGTTTCACAGGAGTTAAGTGTAAACTGTATTCTGAGGATATTCATTCTAGAACTTGCTAAATTTTATGTAAAGCAGTAATGACAACCTTGAAGATAAAGTACATGTACACTGCCAACCTTGATGCTGGCAGTCTGAATTCCCGTTCTGTTGCCAGCAATTTCTTCCCATTGCCACTACTTTTAACTATTTTATTTGATAAACAACTGTCTGGATAAGGGCTTGAAAGTGGATCTAACTTTTCTAGGAAGAAAAAACTGAGCTTTAGAAGGAAATGGGACTGAAAGGTAAGCATGAATAAATATAACTACAAAAGGGGTGTGGGAGCAAGAGCATTGCAGGCAATGACCCCAAACACATCTCAATTTGAAGCCAGAATTTCAGAGGGCCCAAATGGAAGTGACAAAGTAAATGACTATCTACACACCTGTCCCAAAGCTTCAAGACTAAAGGAAGCAAAAAGTAAGTCTGAGACAAACTGCCCTCTCTATAAATAAAAGCAGATCATTAAATAAAAAATGCTCCCGTCCCAGGTGTGGTGGCTCATGCCTGAAATCCCACCACTTGCGAGGCTGAGGCAGGAGGTTCACTGTGAGTTCCAGGCCAGCCTGGGCTACATAGTGAGTTCAAGGCCAGCCTGGACTACATAGTGAGACTGTATCTCAAAAAAAAAAAAAAAAAAGGGCTCACTTTTTCTCCTCAGTTAATCAGAGTAAAGACAAATAGCAGAGGAAAGCAACTGTAGCAGTTCCCAGAAGACTGCTAGAAAAACTTAAGTGTTGTGACACACAGAAAGTCATCACCAAGAAGCCTGCAAAGGTTTCCTCCTTTGGGGAACATTAGGGACTAAGAGCCAGGGCCTCTCCCTCTAGTGTACATGAATCAGAGACTTGCTCACAGGACATCTCTTCTGGGTCCGTGAATCTTTTCATTTCAAAGAAATTAAAGCAATCATTGGGATTTTTTTAAATTTATGGCACTACTATTGTAATATATATTTTCATGAAAAAGATTTTTTTTTTTAAAGAAAGCTTGTTTATGAGTGAATGCATTGAAACAGAAAAAGGGAATGGCTGATCTTCTAATCTTAGAGAGCCCTTGATTATAACAATACTAATTTAGATAACATTTCTCATCATTCAGTATTAAAAACTTATCCTACAGCAGGATGTAGACGACCCTGTTAGAGAAGAGTGCCCAAACTGCAACCCAAAGCTCACTTATTTATTGCAAAGTGCCAATGCTGCAATTAAACCTGAATACTGAGGTTTTAGTTTAGAAAAAACAGCTCATACATTAACATCTTTTCTCTTAAAAGAAAAACAAATAACACCCATGCCATAGGTTCTCCACCACTGCCCTAGGGTAATCCACGCTTCTGCATTTCTCAGTGCTTTCATTCATATCTTTTACCTCTTCACCAGTTCAGTATCCTACAATATTCTATGAAGAGAAGAGAAGAGAAGAGAAGACAAGACAAGACAAGACAAGCGAGCATAGGATCCCATACGTACATGAGCTGCCTAGATGACAGGGAGCCTCCAGGTACCATCTGCCCATAGTGACAGTCAGCACATTAGCAGGGGCCTCAGCAGCTCCCAAGTACTCAGGAAATAGTGAGATGGTTAGCTGTAGTGGGAGGAGACAAAAAAAAAAAAAGGTAGAAACAGAACAGAGACTTAGAATAATGATTGCATTCTTCATTAAAATGCTAATGATGACCACAAATTTCTAGATAACCATGTTTATGAATTATTCATAGTCACAGAGGAGATAAAGTTCCCTTGTCACTGCAGGCTGGCAAGGAGCTTGCTGGTGGTTAGCATGTGGCCCCTGAAGTCAGTGTGACAGAGATGCAGGTCACTGCGTGTCCCTCAATGAGGGCTGGCCGGTCTCCCCCATATTCCACTGGTGCTTTTTCATCTCATTCTTCCTTAATGTCAAGGGGAAACATTAGTCTGGCTCTCTGTTATGACACCTGAGCTAATGTCCCGTAACATTCTAAAAGCTTGAAAGGAGAGAAGGAAAATTTCTGTACTGGAGAGGCAACATGTCAAATTGCTTCTAAAAAAAAGTTTTTCACTGAAGTATAAGATAAATATGAGAAGGGCATTCACACACCTACAGCTGGATGGCTCAATGAAATTTCCTAAGCTGAACACTAGTGCAAAGAGGAAATTTTCTGCAGGGCAGAAGTCCTTTCATGCTCCCTTCTAATCCTCTGAAATTTTTGCCCATTTTTGTGAACATCAAATTGACTTACTGTCATTATTCATGTTTCACTTATAAACAATGCTGAAAATGTGCTATATGTCAAGCATTGTGCTGAGCACCTGAGCTACAAAGATGAATAAGGCACTATCTCTATCTGGAAGGAAAGAAAAGGCTAGTGGGACCAAGGGACATACATAAACTGACCCCACAGGAAAGCTCAAGGAAAGTAATTAACTTGAGGTTCATGTCAAGCAGGGACATCTAGCCCTGAAATGGAGAGGTCAGGGAAGGTTTCCAGGAAAAAGGGATGCTTAGCACATGCTAAGGTTGGACTGGAGAGTTAGTGGAGCTGCAGTGGGAGACACAACAATGGAAAGGCCAGAGGTAAGCAACTAGGTGGCACAGCTTGCCATTCCCGGCCTCTTTCCAGGGGGAGGCCAGGGAAGAGGCCCAGGGCCAAACCGCAGCCTTTCTCATCTATCAGAGAACTGTGCCTTTGTCCTGGCTGCAGACAGCCACAGATGGGTCAGACGTGGGATTCAGCAGTCTTACTCTTTCCAGATGGATCTGAAGAGAGCAGAGTGCAGGTAGGGAAAAAAAGTAAGGCAGTCATCTGGTTGTTACGACCATTCCAAGAGGGAAGGCAGGATGGCAATGAGCGCTGCACACGCAGGTGAGGAAAGGGAGAAAAGAACTGATATTTCAAAACCTCCATAACCTAAAAGTAGGACAGACTGGTCAACTACATGTGTGTGGATGTACTGACCACTGAGGCAGAGAAGAAAGGAGAAGAAATAGGAAGAGATGAAGTGTAGTGTGAGGCACCAGAAATCAGGATGCAGAGATTCAGATGGGAATTGCCAGGTATCTTTGAGTATGAATAACACTTGGGAAAGTTTGAGCAAAACATAAAGGCAAGAAGTGATTATTATATGGAGAACAGCACAGACTATGTGAGTTGGGGACATCCCTGAAGGAACATGGGCAGAGTTAGAAGACTGCAGGATTAGTACTAAGAGCAATACCCTAGAGGACACAAGCAATGACAGAACTGGCAGAGGAAAAAGATCTTTTGAAGAAAGTCAAGAAAGAATGTCAGAGAAGTACTGTGGCACTTATGATAAATATACCTTTAGGTGTGACATTTAAGAAATCACTGGTCACCTTGATCGAGTGCTGTTTTAGAGAAGTGGAGGAGGCAGAGACAATGGAATTGACAGAGCAAGTGGAAGAGCAGAGGAAGGAGAGTGGAGGGCTTTGGGAAAGCCTAAGTGCTAACAGAAGGACATGGTGTAGGGTGAAGAAATCAGTTGAGAGGGAAAGGCTGAGAGCACCAGAGGGAGGAGATAACAATGAATTCGATCTCAAAAGAGGCAGAGGAAAAGATCAGTAGGAGAGATCAAGAGGCTGGCCTTGAAGAAGGAGGAGAATCCACAACTCTCTGATATTAGAAGGAGCTTGGTAAAGATAAATTTGGTTATGGTACATATGCAATTAACAGAATTGGGATGTTCGGGGTGAGAGAACCAATGACATCAACATTCTTGGAAAGAGATGGTAAGGCTCTCTGCTGAAAATGAGGTTACATGTAAATAGTTTGAGGATACAGATCTTGAAATTCTTGGTCTCTGGCATGCTAAACCCACAAAATCTAAGCAGTCTGATTCTGTTTTAAGGAAAACAAACACGGGCCAGTACACATCAAAGTGGAAAAGGGCCTTTGTGCGGTAAACATGCCCATGGTAAAACTTAAAAGAGTGTCAATAGTAGTATATAAACAAAAGATTTAGAAGAAGGCTCCTGCTAATGCGACCTTTCCAATGGTTTGCATATAGTATCATCAGCCAAAATCATTGTCCACTATCCTATGAGGCTTCCTGATATGTTCCAATTCAAAGATCCTCCTAGTATGACTATACTAACAAACAAAAAAGGAGAAGCAGACACTGGCACGTAGGGGACAATGGAGTTGGCAGCAGACTTCCTAGCATGGTGCCTCTTAAGATTGAAGCTAAACCTTCCTACCTCAAGCTGCTGCACACTTTCCACCCAGGGTCTTAGCAAATCCAGAAATGGGGCAAAGTGACCTCACTCGAGGAATGTATCCCAGTAATGGCTAAAGTAGTACCTTAGAAACCTAATGCAGTGGAAAATACCTTGAAAAGCACTTTGATATTGTCCAGGTAGCCTTTGTGATCCCCAAAACCCTGGGTTTGCCTCATTGTTTATCTCTTCTGCAGTGAATGAGATCTCTGGAACTTGATAGCTTTTTAGAACCATATTATTCTCATTGTAGTCAGCCAGGATTGAGAAGGTTCCAAAAGCATCAGATGTCTCCCAACTGAATCATTCATCTTTGTAACCCAGGGGCTAAGATACAGTAAGCAGTCAATAAATGTGTAATAAACCAAAAAAACAGCATAAGTAAAGAATTTTCACAACTAAGACATAAAGAAGCCAATTAAACGGTGAGAACATAAGTACCCTTCCTATATCTTCCTTTCCTGCTCTAATTAACTCAAAGCAAAGCTGAAAATTGGATTCAACTGCATTTATTTTTCACAGAAGAAAATCTTTATAAATAAATATTGCATTCAGTAAAAGGTTTCAGAAATTATGAAAAACAGAATGCCCCTTAAACGGGAAAACAGGTGTATAGGAACACTGTGAGCATACACAGAAGCAAGACCGCAGACTTTACATCTGTCTGCCTTCTTTGTTCTCCCCGTGGAGGACAGGACTTCATTACTTTAGCCGCATGGTGCCTCTCCTCCCAGATGCTAATGTACACAGCTGCATGCTTCGCTTTAACCCATCAGGCAGCAAGATAAAGCGTAATGGGATCATAAAAGCCTTGCTTCCTCAAAACTTCACCTCAGTTATAAGCCTATGTTTTTGCCCTATTATATACTTTTTTATTATCTACCGGTTCATTTCTTTTAACACATAAGCTCTGAGATGATCATACCGAATACATTTAATATATTACATAGTCGCTCACTGTAGTATTTGTCTGGAAACAACTTTAATAATAAGCTTTCCAAAACTAAGAAAGAATTGTGTTTTTTTAAGTTGTATGTATTGTGTGATATTTTTCTGAACAATAAATAACTTGATCCTGAAAAGATCAAATGTGATTCTGCCCACCTGATCAGCAATACCTAGAGAAGGAAACAAATCTTTGAGATTACCATTCCTTTTCCTACTATTCAGAATGTTAAGAAACCAAGATAAATAATATGCTATTCACTTGAATGCAAGCCATCAAGGGGAGGAAGGGAATACATTTGCCAGTCCACAAAGTGTTTAGTGTGCAGCTTTTTAATTACTATGTTTATGGTACTTTGTATAATATATTCACCACCACAAATGCTCTACAAGGTTATTAATCCTCAACAAATATATTAATGCTTCCCTCCTCTCCTACAAACTCTTATTATGCTGATGTGGAGCAAAAATGTCAAGAATTCTCTCCAAAATAAACATTTCATGTCAACAGTTACTAGTTTCTACTATCCTCATTTAACTATTTCTAATATCTCCACTTAAGTATTTGGTCCTATTGACTTAAAAGATGAATTTTTAAAAATGGCTTTGCTTATTCCAATTTGTCTTTTTTTTTTTTTGGTACCAGGGATTGAACTCAGGACCTTGCACTTGCAAGGCAGGCGCTGGAACCACTGAGCTAAATCCCCAGCCCTACAATTTGTTTTTTAATATGACAGGTGGTGTGAGTTACTAAGAAGCTTGCTTTTCCTCTTCAAAAATAATATATTCATTAGCTCCATAAATTATTATACTCTGCATCATTCTCCTGGTACGATACAGTATAATTTCTGTTTTAGAAATCTCAAGAATAAAACATAGAGAATGATCAAGATTTTCATAGTTGAAGGACTACCCATCTAAGTGTTACATGGGTTTAATTTCAACCATAGTGGATTAATTTTGTTTCTAAAAGGAGAATTGGGAATATGATTAATCTTTGGTGACACAGAATCATTAATAAGACTATCGATTATTTGGCTGTGTTGGATCATGGGAATACTAATTCCAAGGAGAAGGAGCAGGACCAGCAGTTCCTAGGTCAGAACCTGGTTTCTACCACCATAAAGTGGGCTGAATGGGGAGTTCCTATGACAAAAAAGGGGGCCCTGAGAATCCAAAGGAAGAGACTGCTGAAGTTCCAACACCAAGAAAGTACAGTTTGATTTTCTTATATCTCATTATTTTATTTGGTTTCCAAAATCATAGCTGACTTGAAAAAGGAAAAGGTCAGTACTCAGATGAGATGCAACACTTCAGGGCAAAGGAGAAGCAAAGGTGACTTAGTTACAGGGCCAGGTGCAGAGCCAAGACGATCCAGAGATTTAGGGTTAAGACGGACTTTATGTATGTACTCCTGGTAAGCGGAC